AATGAGTCCGGACCAAGACGAGCTCAAGATCTGGAGATGGGTCCTCAGAAGTTGGGTCAAATACACTGAATTCTCCTAACAAGGAAATAATAAAGTGTACCTTAACTTGGTTTGCATGTTTTTAAATTGCATTGAGTATTTTCTTCACTTACTTCATTTATATTTTTTCTTTCTGGTGAAGTTTATTATTTTACTTTAGTTAGGGTGACCATATTTCCATTTGTGAAAACCCGGACACCTTACCGGGGTGGGAGGTGGGGCCTCGACATTAAGCTACAGTCGTCCCTCGCTATATCGCGGTTCACCTTTTGCGGTCTCACTGTTTTGCAGATTTTTTTTTCTTTTTAAAAACACACGGGTGGGTCAGGTCTAAACCAGGACTAATCTTGGACTTAAGAGAGAGAACGCCGAGCAGTTTGTCCACAAAGAGCAATCGGGCAATTGGCGCGTTTACCTCTGTGAGATGAGGAGCTCTCCGTCAGTCCTTTCTCCTGCTGTCACCTCCGAGCCCGTCCCAGCAGTGAGTCCTGTTTCAGTTCTGGTTTAGTGCTAGTTCAGTCCTGGTTTAGTCCTCCTCTTCAGTCCTGGAATCAGTCCTAGGTTAGTCCTGGGTTAGTCCTGGTTCAGTCTTGGTTCAGTCCGTGGCGTACGCACTGCAAAAATTTGATATAATCTCGGGTTAACGGGCAGGTGTGGTCCTGTACTGCGCAGGTCAGGGTCTCCAAAAATGGACCTGTGCAGGACTCTGCGCTGTAGGCTCCATTATAGAATAAATTAATCTTCAGTTCTTTACATAAAAAAGGAGGAAAATAACAAAAGGATGACAGCAGCAATAAGTTTTAAGAAGGATGTAAAAAGGGTTACACCTGTCCTGTCTGAAAAAAGTGTATAAAGTTTGTGGTGAGGGGTTTTACAGACTTAACACAGATATAATAATTGTAAAATATAAAGTTGACTACTTCCTGGATTTCACCTATCGCGGGTTATTTTTAGAACGTAACCCCCGCGATAAACAAGGGACCGCTGTACTCTCACCTCACAACCTGTGCACATGGACTCCCACTTGTCCCGTGATGGAATGGGATGGAAAACTGAGAATTTTTCATACAAGTCACTGTTAAATGTGCATTTGTGTTTCGGTATGTTGCAGACTGACCCTTCTGAGTCACAGATGCAGAGCCGCTGAATTTAATGCCCCCAATGAACGGTAAGGAAAACCTGGACATTTGCATGACTTAAAAAAAAAAAAATCGGGACGCCCAGGACAGGATGCAAAATACAGACATGTCCGGGGAAAAACGGACGTTTGGTCACCCTAACTTTAGCTGTACGAGACAAATTCCAAGAAAAAAACATGTCTTCTCTAAATCCTACAGGTAAAACCAATCCAGAGATGGTAGTCAAATCAAACACATTCTCATACGCGTGGGCTGACGGGGGCGAGCGCTGAAGGTCACAGAGGGAGCGCTTGATTCGATCATGGGGACGACACGGGCGGGTACAGCCGTACACACCCGCCACAGATTTGACAAGGTTAGTTAATCTGGTGTCACGCTAAAGGACTGTCTGCCCTCCACCTCTCCTCCTCCTCTCATCCCTCCACCTCTCGTCCTCCTCTCCTCCTCTCCTCCCTCCCTCCACCCCGTGTGTCCAAGTGGATTAAACTACAAGTGTGTTTTAGCACAGAGCTGTGGCTTCAGTTAACCTTGGGATTGAGGCTGAACTCTGAAGCATGGCAAGAATTTCAGCAAAATCGAATCAGTGAACAAGAAAAAAATGGATGTTTATATTTCATTTTCCCAAAAGTACAAAGCCAATAGAAAGGAGCTGAACAAGAGCGTACATCTGAATGAATACCAAAAAGCAGGGAGGTGCTACGCAAAGTTATGCTCTAAAAAGTTCCTATTTGGGCTGTGTCAGATGAAGAGGAGGGGGTCAGAGGAGCAGAGGAGAGCCGATAATCAGAAGAGCACAGGAGAGGGTCAGAGGAGCAAAGAGAGGGTCAAAGGAGCAAAGAGAAGGTCAGAGGAGCAAAGAGAAGGTCAGAGGAGCAAAGAGAGGGTCAGATGGAGCAGAGGAGAGAGTCAGAGGTCAGATGGAGCAGAGGAGAGGGTCAGATGAAAAGGCTTCCACAGGCTCCTCCTCTTGTATCTCACAGCTCACTTCTGCCTTCTGGAGATAGAGTAGTGTAGTTTGTAACGTAATCCATTAAATTACTTAAAGTGAGTAACGTAATCTGAATACTTTGGATTACTTGCTTTGATGTAGAGAAGCAAAGACGAGGAAATCGTAACATAAGTCTGATAAAAGACAATAAAAAAGCCCAGTCTTTACTTAACTGTATTAAAAATATTATTCATAGAAGAGGAGGAGACACGCAGCATGGTTAAGTCTTGTTAAATCCTGTTTTAGACCTGGTTTGGTCTTGGTTTAGTCCTGGTTTATTCCTGGTTTAGTTCTGCTTTAGACCTGGTTTAGACCTGGTTTGGACCTGGTTTTTGTCCTGTTTTAGTCCTAGTTTAGACCTGGTTTTAGACCAGGTTTAAAACTGGTTTGGCCCTGGGTTTAGACCTGGTTTAGTGTCCCTCAATAAGTGGAATTACTGAAAAAAAAAAAAAAAAAAAGGGAATACCCCGAAATGTGAAAACAGGAAAATACGACCGTGTAATCCATTTATTTCAACAAAGTAACTGTAATCCAATTACCACTGACTGAAACAGTAAATGTAACCGAATACAGTTCCTCGTAATTTGTACTCTGATTACATAACTCCGGTACATGTAATCTGTTACTCCCCAACACTGAAGAGATATCCCAGGAGACTGAAAAATATGGTGGATTCCTGCTAAATCAATGAAGCACTAAACTGTTCATCTGAGGGGAAAGAAATGTGGTTTTATTTGTTCATGACGGTGGCCAATGAGCTCCTTCATTTCACAGAGGTCACTGAAAAAACTAATCGGATTGGGCGATTATATTTGGCCGGGCTTGAGATGCAACCAATGGAGTAGAGGCTGATGTCAGTCTGTATCAAAAATGACAGAGATTTTGGCTAATATTCAAGAATGTATTTCAACAAAAATACAATTAATACAAAACATGGATGAACAGGAACATTTATGTATTTATTTACTTATTTATTTATGAAACTGAAGACCCAGCAGACACATCAGAACTGCAGCAAGTATCCAGAGTAATGCACGAAATGACTCCTCGTGCCACAGATGATGACGAGTGGGTTCGAAGGAGGAAAGATTTAATATTTTTAATTGGACTTAAAAGCCTTAATCAAAGAGTACATTACGAGGCCTGTCTTAATTCTCAGCTTTTTGCAAATGCATAGCTTCATTTATGAAATCAGACAACTGTATGTGACAACTCTATTATAGTTTAATTAACCGTGAGCGGCACACTTCATTAGTCCTAATATATGACCTTCTTCTGGGAGGTTTATTGAAGTGTGCGTTTCCAACACCTGTGAGACACAACCTCCTGTGCTCCTGACGTCTGTTTGTCTTTCACTTTACCAACGACATTTTCACAACTTTATGAGATTGTATTCATTAATCATCATCATATTTTAAAAGTAACATTTCTGTAAATTCAGATTGTGATTTTTGATTTCTAACTACACACACGTGTCTGTCAGAGTGGTGGTAATCACAGTGCACTTTGATATTTGTGTGTAAACGATGGTTCTGTCCTGTTTGCCCACTTCATTACACTCTAACATGTATCACTATAACACACACATAATGTGCACTTAACCGGCTCACTGCGGGCTACAAAACAACCCCACAGGAGAGAGCGCTGACATGGAGGGAGGGCAGAGAGACCGGGCTGCCAAGGAGAAACGGAGAGCAAGGTACAGCCCTGGTTTGAAAATGTCATAAAACAAATGCATCTGTCTCCAGTGTCCATGTGAAACCATTATGAACAAACTGACAGAGCTGTGTGTGTGTGTGTGTGTGTGTGTATGTGTGTATGTATGTGTGTGTGTGCTTAATGTTCTCTTCACACACAGGCACAACATGCTTTTAAACACTGCCACCAACAGGCCATTCAGGGTCACTGCATTCATATGTGGAGGATACTGGAAGATTCCGGACATTGGAGCTGGGATATTGTCTAAAGTGTAATGTTCGTGGCATCTCTGTAATGCCCGGGCACACAACTCTCATCAGTATGGATTAGGGATGGGCATTCAATTAAATTTTCTTAATCGATCGTCGAGAGAATTAACGATTGATTAGCGATTAATCATTAACATTTTTTAATATAAAAATGTATCATCCTTATTATTACTATCTGCACTAATCTGCATAAATAAATTCAACTTTACGACATATAAACCGTAACCACTCTAGAGCCACATCAGCATGTTTGACATTATAATGTGTTTAACACAGCTTTGTGCAAGTCTCACAGAAACAAACCTTAAAACCACATGGCTAATTTGCATAAATTAAGTGAAGAAAAAAACACAGCTCTTGTGTCGCTGATGTGACATGACTCAATGCAGGTTAGTGTGACCAGATTTGTGTTTGTCAAAACCAGAACACGGGGGTGGGAGGTGGGGACTCGTCATCGACACTGAGTGACTCTCACCTGGTAAAACTTTTTCCCACTGGACACAGAAACATATGTGCTGCTTTATACACTGTGCACATGGACTCACACTTGTCCTGAACGCAACGGAAAGCGTGGAATTTCTTGTACAAGTCACCGTTAAATACGCATTTGTGCTTTGGCACGTTGCAGACTGACCCACTGTTTGTGTCTCGCTCCTTCTGAGTGCAGAGACATATGTACAGACCTGTTTGTCCCCAGACACGGACGTTTGGTCACCCTACGCTACACACAGCAACCTACATTCCGTTTGTCGATTAAAATGAATGTAATCGATGAAATTCTTAATGATCAATTATCGATTAATCAACTAATCATGCCCATCCCTAGTATAGATCGCTGTGTGTGTAAGTGTAAAGAAGAGTACGTACCCTGGCAGTGTCCTCCGTTGGTGGGGTCCCCGTAGTGCCCAGGCACACAGCTCTCACAGTGAGCTCCTGTGGTGAGGTTCTCACAGCGTTCACACACACTGGTGTTGGCACAGCGGCTGTGCCCGTTACACTGGCACGCTGCAGGACACATGATCAGACAGAAGACACACGGGCTCATTTAGACAACATATAAAGGGAACAAGTGAAGAAATGAGCAAAAAGAACTATCTGTTATTACTATTTTAACTTCATAATGTACTTCTGAATACACAACTGCAAACTTAAACGAAAGGTCGTGTCGTCACACATGATCAGAGAATTTGAAGGATTTTGATTGTAATTTGCTTCTCCTTGAATTTGGGGAGGCGTGACCCAACTTTGTGTGATGTGCTCTTCCTGTGTGTGTGTGTGTGTGTGTGTGTGTGTGTGTGTGTGTCTCATCTCATTCTCCTCGTGTCTGTGGTGTGCACTTTTTGTTGCACATTTAACAATCATATAAGATGGAAAAGTCCTGTAGTGTGTGGTGGCCTTAAGCTGTTTATAAATGTACATTGTTGTTTTTACAGGATCATTTTGGGGATGGAGAACAGAGTGCAGAACATTTCAATTAAACCCACAGTACGGAACTTTTTAGCCAAAAACTAAACTAAAATAAAAGCTCGTGTGTTTGTGTTTATTGTATGGAATAACACGTGTCTTTACTGTGAGTGGGGTTGCATCTCCACAATCCTCACTCTTATTTTGGGCTTTGTACTGCTTGTTTCCATGGAAATGTTGTTTGTCTATAATACTCCACCGTATGACATAACGCTTATCTATTTCCATGAGAAATGTTCTGAAGTATGGCTTTAATTTTCTATTTTCATGGAATCATGCAGGTGACTCACCATCTCAAGAAAATGACACACTGAACCTTTTGTTTTGACATCATAGGCCCTGGCCACACTAGTGTGTATTTGAGTCGTTTTTGTTGTGTGTGCAGTGTTCGTTCACACTAATCCGATTGAAAACAGATCTGGTGCCTCCAGCTCCCACGAATTCTTCTGAGTACAGATCTGATCCATCACTGTGTGGACGCCTGAAAACACTGATACTCTGATGTAGGTCTGTGCACCGCCAAGTAATTCACCACCAAAACACTTAGAGGCCAGAATATGTGTCCATTCATATAAACGTGTGTCTGTGTGTACGACCTGCAGACGTATAATCTCTGAAAAGTTTAACATGAACCATCGCCAACACCACAGAAGCACAGAACAGACTCACCATCAGCAGAACACCCCTCTGTCACAGACAGAACACTCATATTCCACTGAGTCATGTCCTTTAGTCTGACAGAAGCTGAACCACATCAGTGCAGAATAACCAGCTGTTTATTGAGAGCTCAGTTTATGCAAATTAGCCAAGTTTTGTTTGAGTAAAACATAAACAAATATGCTCAAAGCTGTGTGGATAAAAAAGACTTGCAAACACAGAAACAACGTGTCTGGACTCAAATCGTTTCCAATATGGTGATACGGTGATTTGTTTCAGTGTAAATGTAGTCATAATGTACTTTTGGATTCACAAACTACTTTAACATGTGATTTTTGAACATACACTAGGTTCATTTGGAGTGTCCTGTACTGAGTTGTAGAGGGTAAGAATGTAAGAAACAAGACTCTGTTCCATTATAATGTGTATGTAAACGATGAAGATCATGGAATGAGTGAGTCTGATGAGAATCCTATAGCGTGTTTTACAGTATGAACCACAATAATACATGATAATTGTATTCTTCCTCCGCACGTTCACTTTTGACATCCACATGAGCGTGATTATGTTTTTAATCCACTCCAGCAGCTCTGACAGACAGATGCAAAACTCTGGACTAATGAATACGAGAGAAGTGTGGAGTGGTGTAAACGTGGACTGTGTAAATCTGCTGTTTGGGTCACACCTTTTCAAAACTTTTCTTGATTGAGTTTAACTGTCTTATGAAATTGGATGGTTTTGGCACTGAAGCCGTCATTATGATGATTATTAGACCAGAAAGTAAGTAAGGATTTATTTATGCTTTTCACACATAAAATGTTTCATACCAGTGGAGGCAGCACTTCTGAATTGTTGTGTGTGTGTGTGTGTGTGTCTAGTTGTTTCACCAAACGAGACTCATACTGTTTGTTTTGATTGTACTGAAAAACATGCGTCCTTACTCTGAGGTGGCTTGCATCTCCACAAACCTGACTCTTATTTGGCCTGGAAGATGGCCTCTCCTGCTTGTTTCCATGGAAATGTTGTTCCTTTGTCCCTTTTCACATCATCATCTGCACGGAGCATGTTCCAACTTTGTATTTCCATGGACTCATGCAGGTGATGGCCTCTTCACAAAGTTACGTGGTGTTGCTTTAATTATCATTAAATGCTTCCATATTGTAAAGGAATGATCACATGCTCCTCACCAGGACACTGTATGAAGCTCCAGTAGAATCCTCTCTCTGCGTCACACAGACTCTGGTCCAGCTCCATGTGAAAGGCCCTCAGTCCTGGAGCCCCGGGCCCTTGTCTGCTGCTGGAGGTCAGGGGCCTCAGGGGCCCTCTGTAGGAGCCCTCCATACACACGCCTCTCCCAGTGTCAGAGGGGTCACCACACCAGCCGCACTGCGCCCTCTGCAGGCACTCGGAGCAGGTGCGCAGGGCGGAGCAGGTCTCAGCTGCAGAGCACACAGAGAAACACAGTCTGAGTCTGTTTGAAATCATCATTCTGAACATTTGAATTCTCACTACAACTGGAAAACTACACAGTACTCTGTTTGTTCAGGCATTAGTATGTCAAAAGTCAAAAGTTATTTTCTCAATGTTAGATGTGGGAAAAGCTATTATGAGCTTTTTCACCATTCTTGTTGAATCATTATTTTATTTTTGTATATTTCATTTTAAAAAAGGAATTCAGCAATTCATTTTGAAAAGGGAACTGTTCACCCAACGTTTCCCATCTAAATAATGTTTTCACTGAAAGTATTCATTTAAATGAGAACATGCTGAACACATTTTGAAATGGTCTTTTTATGAGAGAATAAAGCTGGTATGTGTGTTCATAAAATCACACTTTTTGACATTACTGGTGTGGTTGATCATTTGACCTCTGGCTGCTGCACACAAAGTAAGTTGCTCAGTGACACAAGAATGATCTCAAGTGAGGTTCAAACCAGCAACCCCTCATATGTTCAGCTTCATATACATATATGTTTTTTCTAATATAAAACTTTACATGCTGAAAAATAACACAGCATGTGGTGTTGGAAAGTCCTATTTAACCCCAGTCACAGTGTTGTATTTGATCTGAAAACACTGGTGCTTCAGTGTGTGTGTGGACCCTGTGTGTGGACCCCGTGTGTGGACCCCGTGTGTGGACCCCGTGTGTGGACCCCGTGTGTGGACCCTGTGCGTTAGAGGAGATTGTCTTTGGCTGTGAGTGGTGCAGAGGGGCAGACGTGCAGAGGAACATTTGTATTCTGAGCTCAGCGCTGACATTCACACAGACCACTGGAAATTAGAAGCGACACGAGGCTGTAATGGCCCCGCACCGGCTCCATGTAAAACACACATCCACAGAACGCACACAGAATAACAGACTGGAGCTGCGACGAGGGCAGCAGGAAGGGGAGAGGGAGGGTGTGGACAGACGTTTAATGCCATACTATGGATCATTCCAGGTAAGCCAAAAATCCAACAAGATGCACTGGCTGAAGTCAGGGTGACAGACTATGACCAGTGACAACTGTGTCATGACCGGGGTCTCAAACCTGCAACCTTAGTTTTCCCACACATGAGATGTGAGCTCTACACTAGAGCGTACACAGGACATAAAGAGCTCTACATGCTCTTCGTCTGGAGTGGTTTCTCTGCTCACATACACAGGTTGAACTGGTGCCAGCTGTGAAGAACACAGCATGATGGGAAAGATAACATGCAAGATTCAGACAAACGTGTTGAGCGGGATTTAAACTGAGATCCTCAGAATAGTTCAGTGTCTCACCTCCTGACGGTGTCTTAGACATGATCTGAAGGACGAGCAGAGGATGGAGGAATCAGAGCGTCAGTAACCAAAGTGAAACATGTTTTCTGTGAGTATAGCATTTTGAAAACAATAAAAGGTAACATGGTGATGTAAATATGTTATGTGTTACAGTTAATATGTTATGTGTTACAGTTAATATGTTACGTGTTACAGTTAATATGTTACGTGTTACAGTTAATATGTTACGTGTTACAGTTAATATGTTACGTGTTACAGTTAATATGTTACGTATTACAGTTAATATGTTATGTGTTACAGTTAATATGTTATGTGTTACAGTTAATGCCCTACAGAAGTGTAGTACCCCTCGTGAATTTTCATAGGATTAGCATTGCACGTTTATTTGGAGATGTCATTTTAGGAGTTTAGGAGTACTCCAGCTCCACTGGCAGAATAGTCTATTAGCCTGCACCTGTTTATCCATCAGGCCTGCTCACATTTAAAACTGCTATTTCCCTAACACCATATGTTTGATCTGAACACGGTTATTCATGTGATTAAAACGGGCACAGAGCCACAGATGTCTGCTGCTGCTGCTGCTGCTGGTGCTGCCTGGGGATGCGCTTCTTAAAGGTCCAGGTTCAAAGTCTGGTTCTGGTCTGGTTCTTCTCCATAGCTTGGAGCTCAGCAGGGGTCACACACACACACACAGCCTGCAGCGGCCTCTCATATCCGGCCTGTTTGTAGCTCACACACGCCCCAAACACACTAAACTGTGGGCTCTTTGTAGCACCGACCTTTTACTCACACTGCATCTAAACAAGCTTCACATACGTGTGTTTTATATTTGAGCAAACATGATTTCTCCAAGTTAAACAATTGTGCTATAAACGATTCATAACATCCAGAAGAGCTTAAACGGAACCTTATGTATCCTGCGCTCTAACAGTTTTTATAAAGGTTACTGCAATCACAACTGAACCTGTGTTGTCTTAACCTGCAGATAGAGGACGTGTACAAGTGCAGAAAGAGCCACTGTCTGTGTGCTTCACGTGAAGTTGCAGCACTAGTTAGTGATGTTGTCAGTGCACTAAAACAGTTTATCTGTGTATAAAATAAGATCTGCTGCTAAATTAACTTTAGTTAATAGGATACGTCTTAATGGTCCATATGTGTGAAATGCAGGTGTTAGTAAATGATGAGAAGAAATGTCCCAAACTTCAGTGGCTGGAGTTCCAGTCATACCTGATGGACACACCAAGCCCCTAGACACTGAAATAATCCAAGACATGACAGAGGCTCTTTCTGCAGACAACATGTGCACTAGAGTGAGGATCGTCAGTCTGATAATCTCTCTGTAGGTTTGGATCTGTTTCACCTTCTTTCTGCACCCATGTGAGGGTTCTATGTGAAGGTTCTATGTGACTCCCATTCTTGTAGCAGAGACTTTGTTGCTGATTGGTGGAAGCTCTGTATTTGGAAAGGAATTCTGCCATTTGATCATGAACACTGTTCTCAGGATTTGTGCAGTGGCTCAGGGGGTCTTTCCTTCCTGAGGGGTGGTCAGCTGCAGAGATCGTCTGTGTCTGTAGGCCCAAACTGCACATGGGCCCGATGCTCTGGAGTTAGAAACACATCCTCTGGCTCAAAGTGCAGAAGGGAAGGATTCTGTTTCCTCACTGGACAGTCAGCTGGATGTGACCACACAACAGTGGAAGAGAGTAAAAGCTCTTTTGAGTAAAGTTCTACAGCTCAGTAAACCAAACTAGTAACGAGTTTCATCACCAAAGAAGCACCAAGACGAACAACCAAAGGATCATAGAGTGGAGAAACGCCCATGGTGATTATAAGCTTTGTCAAGCCTCATGGATTACACAACACACAGTAATGTTACTTTAAAATGTACTCCAAATGATCACTAATACTATGCCGATTGATCAATGTACCACAGTTGTAGTAAAAGTAGGCTTGTTAAATATGAAATAGATCTTTAAGGAAGAGGAGAGAAAAGCCTTTACATTTACAGATTTGGCAGCACAAACAGAAGCTCTCTCTCGTCTCCCTCTCTGCTCTGACTAGAACAATACACTCTCATTTGTAATTGTGGGCATATTTGTGTGAGACTAAAATAACCAGGAGCAGGTCTGACACGTGCTCTGTACTCTCTGTAGTCTCTGGAGCCTTATCTGCTGCGTACAAAGATCCATCCTCACACTGGACGTTTTGTCTTGTGGTGTGTGCACAGCCCGAGCGCTCGGCTCACACACCGCAGCAGTCCTGGGTGGCACGCATTGTCTGCCTGGATCTGCCGCCATCCATTAGCCACTAAAGCTAGCTGACAGTTAGCACGTGTGAAGCTTGTAGCATACAGATCTGGTTGGTGCTTTACACAATACATCAAGTGGAAGGACCATAAGCTGCACAGCAAATCTGTTACAGGGTTAGTTCTTATTTAGTCCTCATATGTGTAGCGTGAGTCGTACACATGATCAGTGTGAAACGGCTCTCACTTAAAGTGGTCAGGACGCTCAAGCGAATCTTTCAAACTGATTGGTCGAAGCGTCACAACAGCAAAACAAGACGAGAAATATATATTTGTGCAGCTGAGAGAGCACACCAAGCATCCTAATCAGAGTTTGAGTTTATAGAAGAACTTTTCACAACTTTCAGAGGCCTGACTATTTTCCTCACGGTACTGCTAACAACAACTAGCATGCCAACAGGCGTACTTCCTAATTCATGGATGATGAAAAACACTTGATAATGAGATGCAGACAGCACACACTGGTCTCATGTCTCATGGTCTATGAGCTGCTTCTACGACAACTTCACACTACTGTACAACTTCACAGAGACAAGCAGGTATGTGCCACCACCAGAGAAGGCAAGTTCATCTTTAATTTGATCTTTTTTGTCGTGCCTTAAGAATGCCTCATCTTGTCTAATCTCCAAAGCAGGGATGGGCATTCGATGAAATTTTCTTAATTATCGATTAATCATTAACGTTTTTATATTAAAATGATCATCATTATTATTATTATTATCTGCACAACTAATCTGCATAAATAAATTCAACTTTACGACATATAAACCGTAACGACTCTAGAGCCACATCAGCCCGTTTCACATTAGAATGTGTTTAATGCAGCTTTGCGCAAGACTCACAGAAACTAAACTTAAAACCACATGGCTCATTTGCATAAACTAAGAGGAGAAAGAAAAAAACAGCTCTTGTGTTGCTGATGCTGTTCAGCTTCTGTCAGATTAAAAGACACGACTCAGTGGAATACAGGTTATTGTGACCAGATTTGCGTTTGTCAAAACCAGGACACCGTACGGGGGGAGGGAGGTGGGGACTCGTCATTGACATTGTGCGACTCTCACCTGGTAAAGTTTTTTCCCACTGGACACCGACACATAAGCGCTGCTTTTACACTGTGCACATGGCCTCCCACTTGTCCCGACCGGAATGGAAAGTGTGGAATTTCTTGTATCATCGTGAAATACACATTTGCATTTCGGCACGTTGCAGACTGACCGACTGTTTGTGTCTCGCTCCTTCTGAGTGCAGAGACACATGTACAGACCTCTGTTTGATCACACTCCGCACAGCAACCTGCATTCGGTTTGTCAATTAAAATTAACGTAATCGATGAAATTCTTAATGATTAATTATCGATTAATCGACTAATC